CACTTGGGATAGGGCAATGGATAAATGAATTACCAAAAATTGTAATATATTGATTTTTACCAATTTGCCCCGAATAGCCTTTTCTACTTGAGATGTGATTTTAATGTACTTGTTGACACCAGTATATATATTTCAATCACATACTGTTTCTCAATTGTCTTGGACAGAACAACAAATACAAAATTCAAGGCACTGTTGAAAGCATTTTAGTTGAAGCTACAGGTTTGTCTAAATTTCACCTTGTATGAATCTACTTTTCCGGCTAAATGTATCATTAGGGCTGCTCAATTAATCGTATTTTAAATCGCGATTACGATTATGGCTTGCAACGATTACGAAAACAAATTAATCGAAATAAAAACGATTATTTATTTTTTTGGGTTTTTCAGTTGAATTATACTTAAAGTTCAGGGTAATCAACTGTTAAAAACATACTGTTCAAATTTATTTTGTCCAATAAATGGATGTTTTCAAAGTCAGTGAATAATTGCATTTAATAATCGCAATTACAAGTATTGACCCAAATAATTGAGATTATGATTTTTGCCATAATCGAGCAGCCCTATGTATCATCAACAAAAGGGTTTAAGCAAGATGTGTTCAGTCATTTGATATTAATGACTATTAGAGGCCACATTTAAATGGATAAAAGTTCAACTGAAGTGTCGAAAAGGAAAAAATGTGTAACCCATATTTAAACATGTTGATATTCACCGGCCGGATGTCGATGTCACACATTCCCACGCTGGTCGTCACAACGTGGCCGACTCCCAACATGGTGTTTCCAGACAGGCCCTGAAGGGATCACAACAAACAATATTAAATTAAAAAAATGTTTTAAAGGGATACATTTCTCATGAAAAACAACACATTTGAATGCCGTAAAGTTTAACAATCCTTGAGCAGCATGTTTAGCTAGTTCGGCTGCTCAGTTCCCTCCACCTTAATAGCACCCCACCTTGGCATTGGAGGGGTCAAAGAGCCCCTCGGGGATCTTCAGCCTCTCAGCTCCAAAGTCAGCGTTGTAGCCGTTGGGCAGCTCGTAGTGCACTGTGGGCATCTGTGCAGCAATCCTGATGAGAGAGGGGGGGGTTACTTGTAGAGATGCACTCGTTGATATTTTCTTGGCTGATTGTTGTGGTTTTTTAAGTCTGAGCTTCTGATTCTGATTTAAATTTCTTTTTTTCTAAGAACAATAATGTACAGCATACAGACACGTTTTTGTAACTTCTATCTCATTAAAAAAAACAGTAATTAACTTTAATAATGGAACTGACTGCTCCAAGTTACAGGACCCTTTGATCGGACGACATCATTAAATTGAGATGAAGTTGACATTTGAACATAATCTAAAAAGAGACTTACTTTTGGCATGCACACCTCAACAGAAGCTGAGGGTTCAAGTAAAGTATAATGTTATTGACATATTAAGTTGCTTACTGTTCATCATATGGAGAGTCTGACACCTGCAGCACAGCTTGCTGGAAGTCCTGGATCACGCACTGCAAACATTAAGAAAGGACAAGTTGGCACACATTTATCAAAACACAACGCACACCAGCCAAATCTACAATTCATTCCTTTATTAGGGATACAACAAATGTCAAGGAGTCCACGTGTGCTGCTTACGTTACACATGTAGTTGTGCCATGAGCGGGTGACTTGAGGTAGTTTCTCTTTTTTCTTCCAGCTGGCTGCTGATCCCTCTCGCACTCCATCCTGTCATGTAAACAAGTAAAGAGTGAATTGAAGTCTCCCTTTTTAAAATGTGAGGATTTTTGTATTTGTTTTACAAACTTAGACAAGTGTGCTACTGAGTCTAGGCTGGTTCTACATTTATCCGGCTCTCTTAGGTTTTCCCTTTAAATATTTAAATCACTCTATACTGTTTTTTGTTTTTATGATATACAGTTGAAAGAACCCTTTGGAACTACCTGGATTTCTGCATAAATTGGTCATAAAATGTGTTCTGATCTTCATCTAAGTCACAACAATAGACATACACAGTCTGCTTAAGCTAAAACCACACCAACAATTATATGTTTTTATTGAACACACCATGTAAACATTCACAGTGCAGGGTGGAAAAAGTATGTGAACCCTTGGATTTAATAACTGGTTGCCCCTCCTTTGGCAGCAATAACCTCAACCAAACATTTCCTATAGTTGCATATCAGACCTGCACAACGGTCAGGAGGAATTTTGGACCATTCCTCTTTACAAAACTGTTTCAGTTCAGCAATATTCTTGGGATGTCTGGTGTGAATCGCTCTCTTGAGGTCATGCCACAGCATCTCAATTGGGTTGAGGTCAGGACTCTGACTGGGCCACTCCAGAAGGTGTATTTTCTTCTGTTGAAGCCATTCTGTTGTTGATTTACTTCTGTGCTTTGGGTCGTTGTCCTGTTGCATCACCCATCTTCTGTTGAGCTTCAATTGGTGGACAGATGGCCTTAAGTTCTCCAGCAAAATGTCTTGATCAACTTGAGAATTCATTTTTCCGTCGATGATGGCAATCTGTCCAGGCCCTGAGGCAGCAAAGCAGCCCCAAACCATGATGCTCCCTCCACCATACTTCACAGTTGGGATGAGGTTTTGATGTTGGTGTGCTGTGCCTTTTTTTCTCCACACATAGCGTTGTGTGTTCCTTCCAAACAACTCAACTTTGGTTTCATCTGTCCACAGAATATTTTGC